GTGGCAGTTTTCAAGGTAATGCCTTCCTTTTTGTATTGTAATTCACAAATGTTTTATCTTTATTTTCTCAGAAGTTATATCTACATATTCTTACCCTGTGGACAAAGGAATTAACACAAAGATGTTAAGTGACTTGTGCCACCCATTTTCCCCAGAACATCCATCTTGATATAGAATCTTCAAAATTTTGGACGTCTTGCTGGAAAGTCCCAACTTGTTCTCAGTTAGGCAGCTTTTCGGATGAGGGTTGTGGTTTTTGTCCCTCATTTCTGATAGTCTTTCCTTCCCTTTCCTGTCATACTTACTCAAGGAAAGGGAGAAGCCATGTGAGTAGTCGATAGAAATGCTGCTGGTCGCCCTCAGCAACACATAGTCACTGGGAACATCACCCACTTCCCAGCTTCACTAGGTAGGTTCTGAGCTAATTAATGAAAGATTATAAAACATTCTTAGCTCTACTCTGAATTATGAGTAGAGTCCTTTAAGTGTTGAGTCACTCAAGTTCTAGTAAAAAAAAAATGGCAGTAAGAAAATTCAAAACAGAAAAATACATATTTTATAAAAGAGCAACTAATATTTGATGGAGTCTCATACATACTGAATTTTGTTCTAAAACTCACCTACTGGGATGAAACATCTACCTGTTGGGGTTCTTCTGAAATGGTTCAGACCTCTCTGGCACATTCAGACTACATTTGTTATTTGTATAATTTTAGCCTGATCTAAAACTACTAAGACTCTTTAATGAGATTTTTCATCATTAAACAAATTTTCACTCCTTCTAAAACACTGCTTTACCAAGTCTTGGAATCATTTGGCTTGAGTATCTTTTGGCTGCTTTCAGTAAGATAAAAAAACTATTGAACTAGCCCATGGAGACATAAACTGGGTTTATTTGTTTGAATGACAATTATATTAGTCCTGATTTCAAATGAATTTTCACCTGATTCTCTGGCCTAAAGAACAAAATAAGTCTAGTTCCCAAAGAAATCTGTCAGTACCTTTCTATCAGATCACTGTTACTTTAGTTGAAAATATTTAATTTATAACATGAGCAAGCTCACTTTTGACTACATATTTAACATGACGGAAAGATTGAATTTTCTAGGAAAGTAGCCAGACAGGTTCAAAATGTCTTATACATCAAAGCAGATTACTTTTTGGTTTGCTCTGATGCCAGGCCTCTAGGATTCAAATCCCAGCTCCAACATTTATGTGTTAAATGACCTTGGATTTATTATTAGGTTACCTCTCTAAGTCTCCATTTCCAAATCTGCAAGTAGGGATGAATTATACCTTCACTATTGGGTGTGGATTGATTTCAGGATTAATCAAGTTACTACAGGTGAAGTAAAAATCTGGTTTTGTAATTGCATTTTTGTCTAAGCCTTGTTTTTAACCATTCAAAGTAAAAATATGATTTTCTTTTTGTCTGCAAATTTTTTATTTCCAGCATGTCAAACAGAGAAATTGAATTATACCAGCCAGCCATGAAAAAATCATTTTCATGTGCATTATTGATCCTTGATTATCCTAAAGTGATATGGATAATATAAAAGAGCCACTTTTCAATTTGTTTATCCAAGTTGAGCATTTTATAATTATTTGGAATCACATATTTGTTCATTTTCATGGATAAGATTAAATGGGGAAAAATGAGATGGAGATCTGAGAGATTAGAAAGTGAGCGGGGAAATCCTCATCTGCAGATAAAAGAAAATGGAGTATAAATGAGATACTTGGTAGGTCTTCATAAATACATGATTAAAAATTGTATTCCCTGGAGTGATGTCAGCATCATGGAGAAGTGAGTCATTTCCTTTGTCTTTCCACTTTAAATTACAACCAATAGGACATCCACAGTCCAACATAGGATCCTTTGCACAACACACCAGGATGCCCGAGAGGTCCATACATCTGAAGGTGGGCAGATTGGAACTCTTGGAGGGGACAGATCCAGAGGACCAGAAGTGACACACCCCATGACTGGAGACTCCAGGAACCATGGCAGCACCCGAGATCCAGCCCCCCTCCCATCCCACCACTGGTGGTAACTGCAACCTCAGTCCACCCAGCAGTGGGGCTGCATCTAAGAATCTGGTACCCACAGCAGCAGCAGCACCTGCAAATCTGAGCTTCCAGGAACTGTGGCAGCATCCTAGCTGCCGCCCCATAGTGGCAGCGCCTGCAACCTCAGCTGTTCCAATATTGGGCGGGGGCTGCACCCAAGCCCCCGGTGCCCACAGCAACAATTGTGCTTATGATTTGAGGCTCTGGGAACCACAGCAGTGCCCGAGACCTAAAGATCCAGGCACAGTGGCTGCACCAATTTACAACCCCACCAATAGTGCACAAGGGTTCCCTTTTCTCTGTATCCTCGCTAACACTTGTCGTTTCTTATTGTTTTGATGATAGCCATTCTTGTCCTTTCTTGTTGTTTCGATGATAGCCGTTCTAACAGTGTGAGGTGATATGACATTGTATTTTTCATGTGCATTTCCTAGTAATTGGTGATATGCTGCCTGCTGGAGACTCATCTGAGCTCTAAAGTCAAACACAGGCTCAAAACAAAGGGGTAGAAGATGATACTCAAAGCAAATGGTAGCCAATAGACAAAACACACTTCAACCATAAAAGGTAACAAGAGCCAAAGCGGACATTCTATAATAATAAAAGGGACAGTCCATCAATAACACATAACATTTATCAATATGCATATTCCTAACGTAAGAGCACCACAATATAAAAAGCAACTATTAACATTTACAACTGCAGCAAAAAGAATAAAATACCTAGGAATAAATTTAACCAAGGAGGTGAAAGACCTGTACACTGAAAACCATAAGACATCGTTGAAAGAAATTGAGGAAGACACAAAGAAATGCACAGATACGTGGTACTCATGGATTGGAAGAATTAACATTGTTCAAATGTCCATATTACTTAGAGCAATCCCTATCAAAATAACAATGTCATTTTCACAAAAATAGAATAAAAACATTGTAAAATATTATGGAACTATAAAAGACCTCAAATAGCCAAAGCAATCCTGAGATTAAAAAAAAAAGCCAGAGGTATCATACTCCCTCATTCAAACTATACTGCAAAGCTACAGTAAAAAAAACAGTATGGTATTAGTAGAAAAACAGATACAATGATCAATCGAACAGAATAGAGAGCCCAGAAATAAACCTATGCCTATATGGTCATTTAATCTATGACAAAGGAGGTGAGAATATACGATGGAGAAAGCAAATTCTCTTCAGTAAATGGTGTTGACTTGAACGTAAGACCCAAAACCATAACATATATAGAAGAAAACATAGTAAGCCTTTTGACATTGGTCTCAGTGATATTTTTGTGGATTTGACTACAATGGCAAGGGAAACAAAAGCAAAAATAAATGGGATTACATCAAACTTAAAAGCTTCTGCACAGCAAAGGAAACCATTAATAAAATAAAAGCCTACCTAGCAAATGGGAAAAGATAATTTGCAACTCATACATCCAATAAGGGGTTAATTTCCGAAATATATGAAGTCATACATTTTAACAACAACCTAAAACAAACAAACAAAACATTAAAATGGGCAGAGGATCCGAATGGACATTTTTACGAAGAAGACATACAGATGGCCAACAGGCAGGTGAAAAGATACTCAATATCGCCAATTACTAGGAAATGCACATGAAAAATACAATGTCATATCACCTCACACTGTTAGAACGGCTATCATCGAAACAACAAGAAAGGACAAGAATGGCTATCATCAAAACAATAAGAAACGACAAGTGTTAGCGAGGATACAGAGAAAAGGGAACCCTTGTGCACTATTGGTGGGGTTGTAAATTGGTGCAGCCACTATGGAAAACAGTATGGAGAGTCCTCAAAAAATTAAGAGTAGAACTACCTTTGACCCAGCAATTCCACCCCTGAGTATTTATCCAAAGAAATCCAAATCTAATTTGAAAAGATAAATGCACCCCTATATTCATTGCAGCATTGTTTACAATAGCCACGATATGGAAGCAACCTAAATATCCATTGATGGACTAATGGATAAAGAAGATCTGGTGCAGGCCGGCCAAGTGGCTCAGTTGGTTAAGAGCTTGCTCAAGAGTGTGAGCTCTGAGCAACAGCAGTTCAATGGTTCAATGGCTGGCCAGAGCTGAGCTGCCACTGAGCTGCCAACAGGTGGCAGGATGGCTCAGCTATGAAAAAAAAAAACATCTGGTACATATATACAATGGAATATTTCTTGGCCATAAAAAATGAAATATTGCCATTTGCGACAACAACATAATGCCCTGTAGGGTATTATGCTAAGTGAAATAAGTCAGAGAAAGACAAATACCATATGATTTCATTTACATGTGGAATCCAAAAAAAAACAAAATAAACGAACACACAGAAACAAACTCATACATACAGAGAACAAACTGATGGTTGCTAGAGGGGAGGGGATTTGGGAAGCTGGGTGAAAAAGGTGCAGGGATTAAGAAATACAAATTGGTAGTCACAAAACAGTCATGGGAATATAAAGTACAGCATAGAGAGTATAGTCAATAGTATTGTAATAACTTCATAGGGTGTCAGACGGGTACTAGACTTATCGGGGTAATCACTTCATAAGTTGTATAAATGTCTAATCACTATGTTGTACACCTAAATTAATATGTTGTATGTCAGTGTAATTGAAAAATTAAAAAATATGTATTTGCATAAGGGAAAATAATGTCATAACTGAAAATGTAAATAACTCCAAGTCTTCAAAAAGACTTGTGTTGTGACTATTTAGAAGGATCCAGAGTGAGGACCATGATTCACATGTAATTTCTTGTCATAGAAAATATAGGCTGTAGGTCATTTAAACCAACAAGTCGGGTTTTTGGTTTCTGTCCATGTTAATAGAACCTAGACATTTTTTCATACAAAAAATGTGGTATTTCACATCTTTTGATCATACTGATTTTCAATGCATTTTGTCTTTCATTTTCAGAAAGAGTTTTGGAACACCTACACAAAAGCACAACAAGGAGAGAGTAACAGAGGAAGTGACTGGTTTCAATTTTACCTTACCTTTCCATTAATCTTTGGCCTCTTCATTATCCTCCTTGTCATTTTCCTGATCTGGAGATGCTTCCTAAGAAACAAAACTCGCAGACAGACAGTAACTGAAAGCCACATCCCTTTCCCTCAGCACCTTAATATTATCACTCCGCCTCCCCCACCAGATGAAGTGTTTGATAGCAGTGGATTGTCACCAGGCTTTCTGGAATATGTAGTTGGACGCTCAGATTCTGTCTCGACTCGCCTGTCCAACTGCGATCCTCCACCAAGCTATGAGGAAGCCACTGGCCAGGTGAACCTTCAGAGGAGTGAAACAGAACCTCATTTAGATCCACCCCCGGAGTATGAGGACATCATCAACGCCAACTCAGCCAGTGCCATTGCTATGGTGCCTGTGGTCACCACCATCAAATGAAACTACAGACTTCTTTTTACTATAATAATTTTTAAAATACTAATGAAAGAACTTTCTAGCACTTTACCACTACATAAATGTGTATTGACTTATTGTATTGGATTCTGACAGCATACCACTTCACATTTCTGATTTGATTTTTATTAGTTTTGTTTCCTACTATAAAATCATTATCCCAGCTCATTTTTACTAATGGAAATACATGAAGAGGGAAAAACATAGTGGAGTTCCTCAAGTGATAATGATGAGCTATACATATATATGTCTGTGTGTGTATACATATGTATTCATATATATATATATATATATGTATATATGTATATGTTATGTATGTGTACATCAGTCCACCATATGTGCAACTGTCTTAAGTCATTAACTTCTGTTTAAATCACCTGCAAAGAGACCATTACTCACCAAAATTGGGGGGGAAAGGCACCAACAATTTGTGTAATAGATAGCAACATGCTGTTAAATTTTGAAAATAAAATGAAATTAGCATGTTTTCTAATTATTACTGGCTTTTGTTTACCTCCTACCTTAAGAGAACAAAAAATGCATGTAGTCCATCTTGATTTTCAAAATGTCTCAGAAAGAGACAGGGAAGGCACAGTAAACAATAATTTGCCTATACTATATACCAAGAAAATCAATGGTCTTTCATGGCATTTGGCTAGTTTTGTAGGAGGGATTATTTTGTTGTTGTTGTTGACTGCCTCCCCCCCCCCCCAGCGAAATTAAAGTGATTGCTTACTCTCTTTGAATGTCTCATGCTATTTGTATTAACATCTTGGTGGAGATGATTTCCTGGCAACAGAATAATCTCTAAAGTAGATATATGTAGTAATGACAGGGAATAGATAAGGATTTCCCCTTTGCTCATTAGTGACAATAATTCTTTTCTTCTCACTGGTCCATGGCCTTTTACTCTACTGTCTGTTCCCTCACCTACCACCACAGAATCTTTAAGCACCTAAGAATTTAGTTAAATCCTTGAAATTATTTTCTTAATGTTTTTGTATAGATTGAAGTCTTTGCCTCAAGATGATTAGGAGGCAATTTTCCATTAAGTGAAGAACTGTGATTTTTATATTGCTCTCTAATTGGTGGAGGAAGATTGCAAAGTCTGTGTTGTGCCAGGTGCACAATAAATCTAGTTATATTAGCCTCACACATATTATTGTTGCTATTTCATTTTTGTATTCTCATCACGTTTTTTTAACTGCAGGATTTTTACTTTTCCCTTGGAGCAGAGGGAACAGACTATGAATGAACTGACAACATAAACTGGCTCAGAAAAAATTACTAAGACAGTTATTTTCCTATGAAGTTTCATAATGTATGTACTAATGGAAAATTCATTATGTCAGTCAGGGAAGTGTCTCTGCCATTCCCAAGCCTCCTTAGTGTTGGATAAAATGGTTGATGAGGCAGATGGAATGCAGATTTCAGAAGTGTCATACCCTGCTGCCTCACCTCCATCCCCACCAGCTCCACCCTCAATCTTGCCCTTGAACCCAAGGAAGGGGGAATGCTGGGGAGAATCCTGAACCAGGAGGCAGATTTCATGAATTCCAATCCCATTCTGCAACATACTTTTCATGGTACCTGGGGAAAGACCCGTAGCTGACCCTCAAATTCTTCAGTTCTGAAATGTTGATGACATCATTTGTCCTGCCCTTCTCCAGCTGCTTCAGAGGATCTAATGAAATGGTGTGCACTAAAGTAATTTGTAAGATGTGAAGAGTTATCTAAGTGAACGTCATATGATTGTTCTTATTGTGCTTAATGGAAAATTTTCTCCCTTTGTTTCCCTAAAATATATCAGAGCTTACACATAGTGAGAAATAGAGTAGGCTGCTCCATATATGGCTAACATGTTCCTAATCTGAGCGTGTGGGTTATTAGTTAAAGTCATGTCATTCTCTGGTCTGTACCAAGGCTGTGCCAACGTAAAGACAACAGCCAGCTCAATACAAACAGGATTAAGCAAATGTTAGAAAGGGAACTAAGATATGTATGTTTAGTTAATAGGTTTTGTAGCGTTCATGGGCTGAAAAGAATACATCTTGGCCCTGGCCTTAACATAAATGACAATATTGTTTTGAATCTGGCCATGAGTACATGGTGATCTTTGGCTTCTAGTTTAAACTGAAAGTGGGAATGTTTGATCCAGTGACTTGTGTGTGTGTGGATATTTTGGTTTATTTAAATGAAAATTGAGGCTTCTTTTGTGTGAGTTTTTTAGGTCATTAATATCAAGCCTTAGATTAAACCAGCAGTTTTCAAAAGTGTGGCCCATAAACTCCTGGGAGTCCTGCTGTGAGATCAAAACTATTTTCATAATACTACAAAGAATGATTTCTTTTTGCTGTAATTCTCTCTCTCAAAAAGGAGTTGAAAATGTAAAACAATGCCATCTTCCCACAGATCTTTTTCTGCTTTAGAAAATATAGCTATCTTCTTAAAAATGTTATTTATGTTAGCATGTAATGGCCTTTTTAAATTTTTAAATTTTCAGTTTTATTTTCCAATGTGGCAAATACTGACAGATGTCAGCTCCATAAACAAAAGCTCTTTGGCGTCCAGATCACCAATAAATTTTAAGAGTATAAAGGGGTCTGAAGACCAAAAGCTTGAGAATTACAGGATTAGACAAATGAGTGGAATGTTCTATTACTAAGTATATATTCTTGCAACTTTATATTTTAAACTCCTGATACTGGAATTACTGCTGCCTCTTAGAGACACCTGAATTGCAGCATAAGAATGAATGTTGATCCTTGAAACAAAAGCCAAATGCTTAAACTTATCAATGATTACAGCTTTTTAGGGTGTTGGTCAAAGAAAACACCCTACCCATAGTGATAACTGGCATCAGTCATAGGTCTCCTGGCAGCATCTGTGTCATGATGACAGGATAAACAAAATACCACTTTCTTCAAGAAGCATTCTCTTAGGTTTGTTTGGTTGGTTTGGTTGGATTCTGGTTTGGGTTTTACATTTTTAAAAACCCTTTTGCTACCCAATCTGGTTTTATAAACTGAGTTTCTTAATGTTTGTTATAATTAAAGGGGTTTGTCTGGAATAACATATATTTTTTATGCTTTTGCCTTTCTTACCTGATCGATTGATATTATATTCACCTTTGATCATTTGTAATAAAAGTTTATTTTTGCAGATGTATTTAGTACCTTTCTTAAGCAGTAACTAAATTGAATCATCCAGTTTGCATTTAAATGAAAGAACGGCTTAATGGCCTTCCAGTAGAATGGTTTCCAAACCTCCACATGCTGTGGTTATGTCTGGAATCCTAGAACTGGCACTTTCTGCCTCCCTACTTTGAATGTCACAAATGAATTATATCTCTTTAAAGTAAATTAAATGATTTCTTCCTTTCCTATTGACCAGTACAAATACAGATGCTGTGTTTAATTCATTGTTAAAGATGACTTCAAGACTGATGATCTGATATGATAACTACGGAGATAGCTTTAACTTGGTTCTGTGTAAATAGCATGTATTTTAATATTTCAAGTTTTTAAACACTTGGTTTACATTAAATTATGGTATTTAACTATTTTTATGTTTATACTAGGTAAGGTTTTTCTTATGTTTCTATTATTTTTGGTATGCTAAATAAAGCTATTTTTAAACCCACGAGATTTCTTCCACCATGTGTTAATTATATTATGATTAAGAGATAAACATGCTGCATAAGTTTTTATTAGTTATAGGTGTTTTTAAACAAGGTAAAATTATATTTTTTTCTCATGGATTCTGGGACTATTCCTCAGTAAAAAAATTAGAAATTATCTGCTGAAAACCTCAGGGTGTTCTCAGCAAGAAAGAAATTTCTGTACTACTTTTGAATGATGCTGGCATGATACAAAATGGGAACACTTGCTCCAAAGGGATAGATTGAGCTCCCTGCTTTAATGTAGTCTGTCAAGTACTGGGAAGAGTGTTGTCTGCAGATACCAAGGAACTGGTTTCTCGCTACTTAGCAGAATAGCTTGCATTTGACATTTAGAAAATGAGAAAGGAAAGCACAAGATGGAAACATTTGTGGCCACAGGGAAGCTTCTTAAGTGTAGTTACTTCAAAAACTAAAAGCTGATGCAACATGCCATTAACCAAGCAAATGTAAATATGAACTGATCTTTATAGTATAAAAATATTAAAATGGTTTACTTATATTCAAGGAGAAATTTTAAGTATTAATTATAAGTCTAAGTATCCATTTACAAGCATAAGTACCCAGAAAGTTGCCCAAAATATCATAACAAGGTACTTTTTTTTAAAGATTTTTATTGGGGAATTGGGGGATGGGAACAGTGCTGGGGAACTGGGGGAAGGGGAACAGACAAGTTGCTGTTGTTTTTGTTCTTCAGTCTAGTTGTGGAGGACGTTGCTTCACTGGCCCAAGTTGGCACCATCATTGCGCTCTTCCCAGCAAGGCAGATCAGTCG